CCTTCATCGCTTCTCAGTCTCCTCAAAGTGATCTGTGGCTTGATGTATGGTTTGCTGTATGGTGTGGCGACGCTTCCAATGCCCTCCGTGAGCCCTTTTCCCGACTTAACTGAGAGAAGAGTACTTGCTTCTGTGACCAAAGATTTTGCCTCAGTTGTTCTAATTACCTTAAATTGGAGGTTTGCAAAAAACCTCGGAATCAGAAAATTATAACTTGCTTAATTAGACATAGAAAGAGTTGTGGTAGTGTCAGGACCCTTTGAGATGCTTAGACTAGTAATTAGTTTTAAGAATAAATCTTTAATTAGATAAAAATTAATAGTAGTTTAAATTAGAAAATCCAGTAATGGTGGCTATAGGGTGATGTAGTGGAAGATTCCATTTCTAAGACACATAGGGATCCATTACCTATGGCATAATAATTTCACTTCCTGTAACACAATGGGGAATGACTCCACTTCTTATGGGGAATGACTCAACAAAATCCCATAGGGATACATTATAGCCCATATGAATACATGGGACTTCCGGTGAGGAGGAAGAGCTATTAGTCACACGTTGGTACACGTGACATAATTACCATATGCTAATCTGAAATTAGCATACACTAAACCCTAGATGCTGATTGGCTGAGCCTGAGCGTTACATGTCGGTACACATGACATATATTAGCATATGCTAATCTCTGAAAGCTGATTGGCTGAATCAATGAGTGAATTATGTTGATGAGCTGACCAAATCGTATATAATGGTGACAGACAGCAGGCTAAACTCTGCAGTGGGATCATGGACCTTGAAGAGAGAAGAAACTGCAGGACACCTAGGAAGGAGAAGACATGCAATAAGCAGCAGCAATTGCATCGGCGGACCCCTGCAAAGCATAAGCTGTCTGAAAAGTCCCCCTAACTCAAACTTTCCCTCCTAATTTATACATTAGTAATATGACATCTCACTTAAAGAAAACTTGTTAAGCAAGCAGTTTCAAAGGTCAAGCAAAGAGGTTTCCTTCTGGTCATCGATTAACCAGATGTGGTTTTTCAGAGTTTGCACGCCTTGAGGCCCTGTCAGACACATTCCTGAGGGCACATGGACAAGCTTCCTGTTCTTCTAAAATGTATGTAACAGCAATTTCAACACAAGTCTTATCAGGGAGGACATGGTGTCAAGCTGCTATTCTGTGGAACCCCAAACCCCCTCCCCTCCTGCCTTGGTTAAGCTAAGACAGCTGCATGGCCAATTTACGGCCTGCTGACATGGCTGCTTTTAGCAATAAACAATAGTGCTTTCAGGCATTTTACTGGTTTACCAAAATCTCCCTGTACAGTCCCTCTCTCCTTCCCTGCTACCTCAGGGCCTGCCCTTCCACAGCCAGTGCGCCCCCCAGCCCTAGGGTTGCCAACTTTCTAATGGCAGAAAACAGAACAGCCTCCCCTTGCCCCGCCTCTTCCACCAAGGCACTGCCTCTGCTCCGCCCCTTCCCTGAGGCCCCACCCCCTGCTCATTTCATCCCCCCTCTCTCCTTGCTTGCTCTGAAATCTACAAGAGAGGAAGTCTACAAGATGAAACTAAAGCAGGAGGGTATCCTGTTTATGAATAAAGACAAAGGATTGTTCTGGTATATGTTGGTGTGCAAGGAAACACAGTGAGTTCTTCACTGAGGAAGCAAGTTGACAGTGTGTTTGATCATGAAATGAAGGTTCCAGCCAACCTGGCTGTAAAGCGTTATAAGGATTTGGGGTAAGCATTACACTACAAGACACAAGAGTATCTAATGAATTAAGTCTAGCCCCTAGGATGCGTGTTATGATTTTATTTTATATGTAACCATGTTTCCAATATGTCTACTTGCTGTTACTTGAATCTCTGTGTTCTGTTAAATAAACTCATATTTGAGTTCACTTGACAGTAGAAACACCTACAACACATGGTTTGCGACAAAATAATCACAAATTGCGAGCCAAATTCTGACATGCCCTTATCTATTTGGCAGTGTTGTGAGTTCTCCATTTTATCTAAAGACTTGCCATATTTATTGTTTTTATTAATCCCCCTAACTTGGAGTCAAGTAACACGAGAATCTCAGGTTTCAATTAAAAAGAAAAGGGGGGGGGAGGGCAAGGCCCCAATCTTGAAACTGCTTCTGCACGTGCTTGACTTTACTGCTGTGAGCAGCAGTGACGGGCAGTCCCATTGACTTAAAGCAAAGGTAAAGTTACGCAGGTACGTAAGTGTGCGTAGGCAGAATCGGGACTTAAGTTTCTAGCCCTTGGCGTGGCACAGAAAAGCTTCAGAGCGTGGCCCACGCCCGAACCCCCGGCTCCCCGCCCCGAGCGGGGGAAAAAGGGCGCCTGAAAGAGCCGCCTTCCAACGGGGATAAAATGGGGGATGCGCGCGCGGTTAGTTTCAGTTGAGAGCGAACTACAACTCCCAGCATGCCCCGCGCCCGCGCATGCTCCCTACAGCGATCGGCGGGCGAGGCTGGGCTGCTGCAGGGCCGGGGCTCGGCCCGTTCCGCGGCGGAGAAGGAACCGGCCCGGCCCGGCGCTGCAGGGTGGGGCGATGGTACCGCTGTATAAGTGGGGGTGGGGCGCGTAGGCCGGTGTGCGCCGCGCCGCGCCGGGAGGGCTCGGAACCGACCTTCCCTACGGCCAGGCCAGGCCGCGGCAGCCGCTCCCCCTGCTGGGGGCAGAGCCGGGCCCGGGGGCGGCCGCGAGACTAGAGTAGCTGGAGAGTAACCTCCCGTCAGT